CCGTCACCAATTCCTCTTTGGTGGAGACATTCCCCACCTCCACTGCCGCTTCCCAGACAGCGACCTTGTTCACACATCAACATGATTATCGTGGCCCCAGCGGGAGTCAGGGATCTACTATGGGGCCATGCTTGCAAACATATGGAATGATCTTATCGCTTCGAATGCAGCCACATACCGAGTCCGCTGTCCACAATGTCTTGATGATTTGTACAGTACTGCAGGCCTGCACGTGCACCAGACACAAGGTGTGTAGCATTTGCACGAGAAGCAGCCACTCTGAGTACAAGTGCAGCTGATCAGCTTCTGCCTCTTGCATCTGACACCCCCTCTTGCAATCTACCTCGCCCCGATTGCTTCCCCCACTGCAATTACCAATGGTCCACCCTCTGATTGTTTGACCGAACCTCAGACAGGAGATGATCTCTCTCCCTGGAACGTGTGCTAGATCAAATCGAGCATAGGAGCTTGACAGAGACTTTCAAGACCAGAAGCAACCTCCCCCTGCTGTGAATCGGTGGAATCAAATTATCTCATAGTGCTACAGTGAGGCCGCTGTGCGTACTGTCCCATCAAGTGTGTCTCCTCACTTACAATTGCAAAGTTGCAAACCCTATACTTTCTAATTTTGCAGACGTTGTCCACTGAATAGAAGAGGGGCACTGTGCCGTCTGCCCAGAGGATGACAGGAATGCTGCTGCCATGAACATAGAAGTACTGGAAATACTGTCTGCAACTTTTATAGGAAGACGATGACAGCTCCATCTTGCTTCCGCAGAATATATGCCTGACTTGGATCCGAATATTCAGGCGTACATCCCGCATTGCCCAGGGCATTTTAGTGCTGTTGTGATGACCTGACCAAACACGGACTGAGACACACAGCTGATTTCTGAGTTTTGCTCATGGACTGAATGCCTTCCTGAGTTTCCCGCTTGCTACCGAGTTCTCCAAGTCTGTCTGTGTGCACGCTTGCTGCTCTGCATGTCTGTCTGAGTGCTTGTTGGCGTGAGTGTGTGTGTGACCCCCAAGGGCACTTGTTCGTTCATTGGGCCCACAGGGCCAGTGCTTGCCTGTGGCCGTGACATCGAGGATTGCAGCGGTGTCGTACCAAATACCCTTACAAGGGTATTTGGCGTGTGTTTTATAAGTCGCGCGTAACACGGCCTCATCAGTGCTTAACGGCGCGAGCAAGACGAGAGGACGAGTCCACGCCTGCATGAGAGCGGTGTGCGCGGTGTGGTGGCGGCAAAGCGTGGACGTCCGAAGACAGAGGGGGCGTGACGTCACAGTCTGGTGGCAAGGCCTCCTTTGTCTATCGCCGCGGTCTCTCGATTTATTTTTTTTAAATATTTATTTTAGTTGATTGATTAAAATTTTTTGTCTTTAATCGGTGTCGGTTCCGAGACCTGTGGCGGAGCTGACGGGTTTTTGTTTGGTTCGTGCACCAGTGGACCGTCGAAGTACAGGGCGAAGTTCGAAGTCCCGCTGCAGTCGGGCGATCGGGACAACCAGGAGCTTTACGGCGCAAGTGAAATACCTCTACTTCTTTTTTTTTTTTTTTTTTTTTTTTTGGTATTTAACATCGCAAGGGGGAGCCGGGGTCTTGCCCGAGTCACCCGGTCCACGGTGCAGACCTTTGTGGCTTGTCCGATCCAAGCGGGACGGCACAATTGCGAGTGCACCGTCCGCCACTCACAATCTGTTGAGAGAGGTTCGAGTGTGAGTATGCCTGTCGGGGGCTCGCAAGATGGTGAACTATGCCGGGGCGGGGCGAGGGGGCGCCAGCAAAGGGCTGCCGCAGTGCTGGCTGTGCAGCCCAAGCTGCCTCAGCAGCAGGCCACGACAGCCTGCAAAAGTCTCATTTGAATATTTGTTACTACCACCAAGATCTACATGGGACCCGCATCACCTAGACTCCGGCACAGGGTTGCAGCAAGACCCGCGGGGTCCTATTCGCAGCAGCGTAGGGGCTACTACAGCGGTTGGGCATATGTTGAACGCTGCAAAGATGTTCGTCGGGGCCGGCTGAGTTCGCAGAGGAGTTGACATTTACTCCTTAGCAAATCTCGCCTGTCATGACCGCCGTGGGGCTGTTGCTACTGGTTGGAGGAGCGGTGTATGGCTTGGGGCGCAGTTTGCCTCCACGGAGAGCGAGGGAGTATGAAGGCGGCGACGGGAGGTCCACGGAGAGGACTGAACCTGGACGGGTTTCTGCGCCGGGTGCATGCGAAAAAGGGAGAGGCGCAGGGCAGGATCAGTGAGGCAGCGGAAGACGGGAGTTGGAGAAGAACAGCCGCGGGGCAATGAACGCAAGGCCAACTCCTATCGGAGTGTTTGGGCTAGCGCAGGGCTGAAGCAAAAGCAAGGTTGCGGGACGGAGCGGAGTGCAGAAAGAGACCGGGCAGTGCAGAGGGAGAAGCTGGCCAGGCAGCGCAGCGCTGGTCGGGGACGACAGGGACAACGAGAAGGGGGACTGAAGGGAGAGAACGGGAAGAAAACTAAGGCGAAGGCGGAGGGAAAAAGGAAGTGAACCTGGAGCGAATTTGCGCTGCGTCCACTCGAAGAATGGAATGGCGGAGCGGTAGAGGAAGGAGTGTGTCAAGGCAGAGACAAAAAGAGATAGGCAGCGGACCACTAGCAGAGGAAAGGGGAGTAAAAAGAAGGTGAGTGAACCCAGCCGGGATTCTGCGCCGGGTACATTCGAGAGAACTATGGCGGAGAGTGGAGGAGTAGGAGAGAAAATTTGTGAATCTCGGCCATACCGTGACCGATTTCGTCGGACTAGAGGTCGAAAACGGGGTTTGGGGCTATGGCAAAACCGAATCTGGCGTTAGTCTTAGTGGGGAGTTAGTGGAATAGGAAGTTAGTGAAAAATATTGTGCGCGGAGGTATGGCAGAGGGGGAAGGAGATGGGAGCAGAATTGTAATAAATTCAGTCATTTCTTGACCGTTTTCGACGATCTAAGATGCTAAATTGGGTTTTTGGGGCGCCGCGAATCGAGTGGCGCGGTCGGATTTGGCAATAAGGGAGTGTTTGTAGCGCTATGAGCAGACAGAGCTGCGCGGAGGTATTGAGAAGCCGATATGGCAGCGAGCAAAAATTTCGCATATCGCGGTCATTTTTCGATCGATATCGTTGATCTAAAAACTTGCACAAAAGGTCTGAGGCATTGTGAATCCGATGGCGGTGTCGAGTCTGACGATGGGGTAGCGGATTCAGTACTGCGGTATATTGTGAATCTGATGGCGGTGTCGAATCTGACGACGGGGTAGCGGATTCAGTACTGCGGTATATAACTGGCTTCAACTCAAAATCGTAGAGATCGAGTTCAGCGGCCCACCTAGTCAACTTAGGTGTCATCCGGGCCTGCGTTTTGAGCCAGCAAAGTGTTTCATGGTCGGAGTATACTTTGAAATGCCTTCCGAGAAGATAGTGTCGCCAATGATTCAAAGCTTCTCGAAGAGCGTATAGCTCTCTTTCATAGGTGGAAGCGGCGACCTTCTCATTAGGTAAACGACAAGACATAAACTCCACAGGTCTGTACCCATGCCCATCATCTTGCTGGAGTACAACACCTATACCATATTGACTAGCGTCAGTAGTGACAACAAAGGGTAATGAAGGATCAGCAACTTTCAAAACCGGATAATTAATCAAGCATTGCTTCGGATGCTTAAATGACGACGTGCAACTTGAATCCCACTTCCAGATTGTTTCTTTCTTGAGCAATCTGCGAAGAGGCGCAGCTATTATCGTGAAGTGTTTAACGAACTTCCGATAATAGTTGGCTAACCCAAGAAACGACCGCAACTCAGTCAAAGTGCGGGGGTTCGGCCAATCTCTGATTGCAGCAATCTTTGCATCCTCTGGTTTGACTCCATCTCCATCAGTTACATGACCCAAGTACAAGACCTGACGCTTGGCCCATTCACACTTCTTTGGGTTCAACTTGAGATTTGCTTCACGCAATTTATTTAGCACAAGTCGAAGGTGCTCAGCGTGTTCTTTCTCATCTTTGCTGAAAATCAAAATATCATTCAAATATATAACGACAAATTTATCAAGCCACTCACGAAAGAGTTCATTCATCGTTCCTTGGAAGGTTGCAGGGGCATTCGTTAGACCAAAGGGCATAAGTATGAACTCATAGTGCCCATACCTTGTCCTAAAGGCAGTCTTATATTGGTCTTCCGGTTCTACCTCAATTTGATGGTATCCGGATTTCAGATCAATCTTTGTAAACAACTTGCATCCCTGCACACGATCCAGCAAATCATCTATTCGCGGCAACGGCTCAACAATTTTCACTGTTATATCATTCAATCTCCTATAATCTATGCACATGCGAACGCCGCCATCTTTCTTAGGTATGAAAAGCACAGGCGCACCATAGGGCAAGGAACTTGGACTTATCCACCCCTTTTCCAGCAATTCATCAAGCTGGGTTTGCAGTTCATCCAATTCTTGAGGTGACATACGATAGATATCCCCCTTAGGAGGTGAACTCCCTGGAATTATGTCAATGCGATGCTTAATAGGTCTTTCCACTACACCGCTTGGGGCTTCTGCCACATCTGCGAACTCTTTCAGGATTCTTTCAATTTCTTGGGACTTGACTTCTTCTTTACTTTCACCCTCTTTCACTGGGCGCACATATGCAACAAAGACTTGATCATACAAGTTATGCTTCTTTACGTGGCGAGCGAACGCCGGGGCACTCATACAACAATGAGCTAGGCTGCTTTCCTTACCTGACTCATGATACAGACGAATCTTCTTTTTGCCTCCTTGTGGGCTAGGGAGCCAACACTCATGGGCTCGCAACTTTAAGTCTGCATCGGCGGCCTCACCCCAATCAGTGCCTAACAATACATCAAAGGGCAAGCTATCTTCCACCAAGAAGGTCAGAGAGTGGAGAACACGTTCCACCTTCCCCTCTGCCTCGAGCCGAAAGTATGCCCGTACCCCCTCGACGTATCGATCCATCACGATCTCACTGCTATTAGCCAATTTACTTACTATGGGCTCATTCAAATTCTTAACCTTTAGCCCAAGACGGAGTTTTTGCAAACCCTTCTTACTAATATAGCTGCGTGTAGACCCACTGTCTATCATTCCACCTACTCTTACTTTATTTATTTCAAGATCTGCAAGGATTAACTGCCCTTTCTTTTTCTTCATCTCAGTCCAGGTTGGCGACGAGCGGCCAACTCATCACCTATGCCAGCGAGGGATCCATCTAGAGAGATCCATACGCTAGCCACCTCTGGGCAGGGCACTAAATGGGGACTGACTACTTCCTCTTCAATCTCTGCCATTGAGGCCTTCGAGTGGGAGGATTCTGGTTTTTCAGCACTCGAAGCTCCGGTAGAGGCAACTGGAACCTCTACTGGCTGTTCCGTTGTGCTCCCCTATAGTCGGGGCAATAGGGAACAATGTGGTCGGGTCCCCACATTTAAGGCATTGATCGACAACTTTCTATCTTGCCAAACTTTTTCAGTTATTCCCAGTTTCTTCCAAGGTTCGCCTTCGGGAAGACCGGGATGAGGCTGGTAAGGTTTATCCCTTCCCAAACCATGCGCCTCTTCCTCTACCCCACGTGGAATAAGTACCACGACCACCTTGCGAGGGACCGTTTCCCCTTCCTCCCACGTAGTGGCTACCTTCGCCACTACCCCTCTGGGTGCCTGAGCCTCTTCCACCACGGCCACGACCTCCTTTTCCTCGGCCGCGCCCTTTACCTTGTCGCCCTCCCCCGCGGGCTGCAACGGCCGCGTAGCTCCCCTCCTGAACTACCGGTTCGTTGAGTTCCTCGAGACCGTAATCCACTTGGTCCCAAGGGATGGTTTCCATGCCTCCTCCCTCAAAGGTTAGGAGGAGGCTGTCCTTCCCAGGTATTGACCCTGAGATAGTACGATTTTGCCACTTTCGTCCCGCTTGCAGATCTTTCCAATAGTGGTAGTAGTTAGCCTCAGTTAAGAAGCCAGCATGATCCAATGCGATCTTGCTGAACTTCTCGTAAGTCATTCCTTCTTCCTTTGTTCGGGGATACAGTTGAGAGCGAAGGGGTTCAGGGAGTGCACGGGCAAAGCTATTCAGAATTTGTGCGGGGGTTAAGCCATGTTCAGTGCTTTGCTGCAGCAGTTCATCCATAGTAGACTTGAGTGCTGAAGTGCTTCTCCACTTCCTTTCAGGTAAATTTAACACCAACATTTCTGTTCGACGGGCCAGATTCTTGTCCTCGAACCGTTCTCTGACGGCTTTGAGGAAATCCTCCAAACGAGTTCGCTGAGAATATTCCACTAACGTCTCACATCCCGCTTCTTTCTGCAAAGAGATCGCAAAACTCATTGCATCTCCCGCCATGCAGGAACTGGCCATAAGCACTCTGTACCAGTATGGGACTCGCTGTCCATAACAATATGACTCAATCGCTGCAATCCAGTGCAAAACGCTCTCTTCCTTTTTACCGTTATAGGTCCATGGCAATTTCAACTGAATCTTGTTTACCTTTCCCCCATCTCCTTCTTCACGCTGCACTCCTTTCTTCTTCTTGTCTCCATCATCTCCATCATCGCCGCCGTCCCCTCCTCCACCTCCAGCTCCTTTCACTATCCTTTCGATTACTTTCGGTGTGAAGGTAGTAGTAATGTGCTCATCTAGCTTTACAATATAGGATTGGATATGCCTGTCCACATCTTGTGCTGACTTGTGCAGAAAGGTATTCCAGACGTTTTCAAACTCTGTTTGGTGAGTTTCCACCTTCTGTAGCGTCCGATTCATTGCTGCCATCTCCTTCCTTGTCTGGAGGAGAGACTCTCTGAGAAGGGTGAGTTGTTCGTCTGCCGCCGTTTCCTTTCCTTTTTGCGCTTCTAACGCGGTTTGTAACTTTTCACCCTCTGTCTGCAGCCTCTTTTTCTCCTCTAATTCTTGTCTCTGTGCTGCGAGCAATTTGGTATGCAATTCGTTTCTCTTTTCCTCCAGCAGCAAATCCCTTTCTGCTTTATCAGCAATAGTTCCTAGCTTGGCTATGAACACATCTCTTTCTTCTTCCGATTCTTGAAGTTGGTCGCTGGAGTAGCCGTGCTGGTTGGCCCAATCCAATGGGGGCACCAACGGCAGGCGTACCTCACCGGTACGACTACTCTCGGGCTGATCAATGGGTCGCCGCCGTTGCAATCTCTCCCCTTCATCCTTCTCTTCATCTTCTTCTTCGTCTTGAATACTTTTCATTTCTTCTTCTAATTCTCTTTCCATCTTTTCTTTCAGCTTCTTCTTCAGTTCTTCTTCTTTCTGTCTTTTCTTGTCTTCTCTTTCTTTCTTTTTCTCTGCCAGCTGGGGATCATTTTCTTTCTGTTCTTCAATTGTGGGGCCCGGCTTGATCTTCCCTGACTTCAGCATCATCCGAGAGGTACAGATTCTCCCAAGTCCCAATGGAAAGAAGATGCGGAACAGGGGCCCCATAAGAACAGATAGAGCCAATAGGCCCTGCATGGGATAATCGTCCATGCTGGATATCGGCACAGGGGTAGCCTCCGCCGGTCCAACAGGCGACTATCCCAGTCAGAACACTACTAGACTTACCTTGCGGCAATGGGGCTATGCACAATTTTTTTTTTTTAACTCTGAGGTGCTGCAACAACAGATACTTAATAATAATAAAATAATATTCAGACACTTCCTGTGCAACTTCTTACTGTCTGCAGGAGGTAGTAACGATTTTTTTTTTTTTTTTTTTTTCCCCTGTCAATCCTCCTTCGTGCAGATTCTTGCTGCCTGGCTGCTTACTGGATCAGAATCACGCTGGCTGTCTCTTACTTATGATTGCTTTCTTAGGCCCCCTGCATAGCTTGCATGATTGTACTAACGTTTGTTGTTGTCTGGATGCAGGTTTGGACTTGGAACGCATGGATGTCAGATGCAGATATCACGCATGATCAACCAGGCAATAGTACTTCGATTAAAATTTTTCTTTCTTTCTTCTTTAATTAGTCTTATAGCTGCTCATCAATATACTTGCACTGCCCTGTTCTTGCAATCTGACGTGGCATTCAATCTCTATACATGTCGAGTTCTAGCCTTCAGTAACCTTGCGCAATCCTACCTATCAAGAGTGGTAGAGAAGGCAGCACAGACTCTACTTACAGAACTCTGACCACTTCTGACACGACCAGACTCTGGCGAGATTCTACTGGACCACTCAGACTCTGACTCTCTTTGTGGTGGTCCAGATCCAGATCCGACTTATGACCAGCAGCAGCAGTCACCTTCAGAGGGAAAGAGAGAGAGAGAGGGAGAGGAAGAGGTAGGGGACACACTCATGCATGCAGGTCAGGGGGCAGAGGTGCTTCTCTCTTGTTGAAGTCCTTCGATGTCGCTCCTCGTCGCGCAGCACGCTCCAGGTAAGTATCATAAGCCCCTTCTTCTTCGGCCTGCTCCCACTACTAATCCTCCTCTCCTCCTCACTTCCTTCCACTAATCCTCCATCACCATATCTTCAACTCGCCGGCCTTGATCACGCCAGCGCTATGAGAGCAACGAGTATCAGGCTCCGATACCAAATTTGCATGGGTCCTGGGGACCAACTCATGTAAGAGTGTTCACAGCATGCATCATCATCATACACAATGAACTGAAGTCTTCACACATTAGACAAAAGAGAGGTAAGAAGAGAACCAATTTGCGCAGCTTATATTATCAATAACATGATTACAAAGAGTGTCATAGTTCCCTGAGTTCAAGCGCTCAACCAGCGCAACGCAAATTTCTCATCCGACTCGTCAATGTGGCTGCTACACAGCAGTGCCAACCCTGCAGACTATAGTCAACTCAGGTAAGTAGCCACCATAGCCGAATCTCCCTTGAACACTCTCTGTTTCGGTTCTTCTCTTCATCTATGCATGCACACTCTCTTCTCTCTCAAGGATCTACTCTGAATGCTACTCACAGAAGACTACTACTAACCCTCTAACCTGTTATTAACTCGCTGGGCAGCTATGGCTGCTTCTCTTCCCCAGCGCCCAGTCTGCTTCTCTCCTCTAGCGCATCTCCATCCTCCAGCGCTGCTCCTCCTGGCTGGYGCACAAGTGCTTCMGCACTTCCACGCACAGAATGCCAGTAGAGATCTGGCGTGAAATGAGGCTGGCTGCTTCCTTTATAGTGCTGGCCTCCTCACGCTGGGTCTGCATTGGCGCATTTCAGACCTTCCTTTGTCCCAGACCCTGCATTGCATGTGTCCCAGTACTTGTCCCAATGAGGTTTGCTGCTGCTGAGGCCCTTCGGCCTGGATTTGGACTTGGACCTCTGAATCTGTACTGTTCATCAGACATAGACCAGAACTGGGACTCTGTTTATCGACTTACTTTGAACAGGCACAACTCTGAACGAACAGACACACTTACTGCCTGAACAGACATCTATATTGTGGGAATAGACACTCTCTTTCTGCACGAACAGGCACACTGATTTCACGTACAGACACATCCCTATCTGAACAGACATGACATGTGCATCCCCTAGCGAACAGGTATAACCTTCGGCAATGACCTTTGGCACTGACTCCTTGCTTTAGTTTAGATGTGCCCCTTTGACCAGAGAACTTGACTCTTGATCTGTTTCACGTTTCCTGGGTCCTGGCGAGATACCCCTTCACGCTGCTTTACTTTTACAAGGCCTGAATCGGGTAAAGGCCCTTTTACTAATAGAGAGTCTTTGCGTAGTTTATTTTTAGGGGAATGTCATTATGCCATTGGCTTCAAGAAGACTGCAGCAAACCTGTTGCAGCGATTCTGGTGACCCACAATGATAAAAGATGCCAAACTGTATGTCGAGACTTGTCAAGTTTGTCAACGTGACAAGCCCCGGACACATGCTCCTCTTGGGTTTCTGAAGCCCCTTTCCATTCCGGAAAGGCCTGGTGAAAGCCTGTCCATGGACTTCATGGATACGCTAGTCACCAGCAAGAGTGGCATGAGGTAATCTACGTCATCATGGATAGATTTAGTAAGTATGCTAGATTAGTAGCTATGCCAGAAACAGCAAAGACCGAGTACGCTATCAGGCTATTTAAGGAAAACTGGGTTAGAGACTTTGGCCTGCCGAAGTCTATAATCATCGACAGGGATGTCGGATTCACCAGTGATCTGTGGAAGGCCGCAGCCGCTGAACAAGGAACTCAGCTGCAGATGACATCTGGAAACCATCCGGAGGCAGAACAGATGAACCGCGCTGTTCAACACTTGCTGAGGCATTACATTAAGCCTAATCAAATGGACTGGGACGAGAGAGAAGCTCGCTCTCATCGCCAGCCTGTACAACAACGCAGTTCATAGTGCCACGGGAGTAAGTCCTAACAGCCTACTACTAACGTTCAAACCTAGACTCCCTCTTGACTTTCTGCTACCTGAGAACCAGCCCACTGCTGCTCCAGGCACTTTGGAATTTGCCTATGGATATGAGAATCATATGCAGCAGGCGGTAGGTAGAACACATACGCGAAGCACAGGCGGCGATGATTAAATCTGAGAACAAGCACCGCCGCCCATCTACGCTCCAGGTAGGGGACAGAGTCTGGGTCAAGGCTCCTGAACTGGGACAGGAGCACGGGATCTCCCGTAAGCTCATGCCACAGTATTTTGGGCCATGGGAGTTTCTGGATGTAGTCGGGATCATATGTCATTCGGATCCCTGGAGTCTTCGTACCTACCCTGTTTTTTGCATCTGAGCTTGCACCATTTGAAGAAACTGACCAGTTTCCCACTCGTCGCTCAATGCTGCCCCCAACCATGGACGGAGAGGTCGACATCGACGACATCGTGGATCACAAGGAAATGCCGGTTCCAGGACGGACAGGCAGGGGACGTCCTCTGAAGCCGAAGCTGCAGTACAGAGTTCGGTTCGGACATCACATCGATCCAAAGGAGGATAGATGGTTCACACGGGAGGAACTGATGCAGACTGCACCGCAGGTTGTCACTCACTATGAGAAGTTGCTGCAGAAAGGAAAGCGCCAGATAGAGTAATCAAACTTCTCAGAGGACTGTCGAAGTAAGGAGGCGGGAATGCGAGGCTCAAGGCCTCGATCTGTCCTACTGGGCCTTATTTTCTGTACAGTCGGCCGCCCTAAGTGAAGGCAGGCTCGACCCAGGGCCTACAGGCCCATTTTTGGGGTCACCACGCAACTGGGTAATTTCAGGCAGTTGTGCAGCCACAGTTGGTTGAGAGCGCCTAGGCTCAGTCTGCCTATTTCGAATGTAAGCAAGGCAGGTCCTGGGCCAGATTCGCAACATGGACCGAACACAGGCCGCGGGCAGTTGAACAAGGGCAACCACGACAGGCCCAGTGCCTGATTCGTTTGGACTGGGGCTCAGCCTCTCTGGGCCTACTGGAAGCTTCTGGGCAGGGGCCCAGTGCAGCCAGGCTGCACGCAAGCAAGCAGGCCACTTCCATTTAGGAAAGGGCCTGCCTACGCATTCGGCATTCGGGCACTGGCTGCATGCTGCGCTAACGCTGGCCAGCGCTCACGTGCTCACGGACGAGCTGGAAGGAGCAGGCAGCCATAGCCGAGCTGCGCTGCTGTATGCTGGATGGGGCGCATGGTGGTCTTTGGGTGCATGTGGCATCTGTGAGTTGGGGATCGAGGTTATGAGTGAGGCGAGGGACATACCTGGTGCTGGAGGCGAACGACATTGGCCGAGATCTGCTCGTACTTCGGGGAGCTGTTGACGTCAATGTCCGAGATCTGCTCGTACTTCGGGGAGCTGTTGACGTCATCAGTGGCATTGTAGATAGGCGAGATAGGATCTGCCATTTGTAGTCTGGGCACCGAGCGCCAGATAGGATGTCAACATTGGTTCTTTGTTGATGATGAGACTATTCAAACATTGTCACTTATGAGCTCTTGCTGTGCTCTTATTTGGTGGGACTTGTAATGCAATTCTGCTGTTGGTTTGAGGTCACGACTATCTGGTCTCATGTGTATGGTGCTGCTTGGTTTCTGAAGTTCGCTATCGCTCATTTTCCCTTGCACAAGGGTGCACAGGAAAGAAATCTGTTTGAGTTATCCGACAATTTTGGTCGATCTGTCGGAGTGCTTAGTCCAACGAACCTTTTCGTCTCACCTCTTTGGCCTGAGCCCAGCCTCCACCAGTAAGGAGGTCCACTTGACTGATGTGTGATGACCCGACCAAACATGGACTGAAACACACGGCAGATTTCCGAGTTTTGGTCATGGACTGAATGCCTTGCTGAGTTTCCCGTGTGCTACTAAGTCTGTGCGAGTGCTGGACTGCATGTCTGTTTGAGTGCTGGTTGGCTTGAGTGTGTGTGTGGCCCGTAAGGGCACTTGTTCGTTCGTTGGGCGCTCAGGGCCGGTACTTACCTGTGGCCGTGACATTGAGGGATTGCAGCGGGGGAAAACACTCAAGTAGCAGGTAGGCCGGTACCGCACCCTGAAGAGGTGGATGTGCGGGTACTGGAGGCCGAGCAGAAGAAGACAAAAGTGGCATTTTGAGAAGCCCCGTAGTTGTAGGCTAGGTCT